CTATTGAATGAATATTTACCCGTTGCAAACAGCAAACAAATCGTTGTAAAATAAAAGAAATTATAAAAACGCTATGAACTTATTCCCCAACCTAATATGTGGTAGCGTTTCGTTTTCGTTGTAGTGATTAAGCATGCAAGTCTTGCCCATTTCTTTACCATTTCATGGAAAGGTCAATTTTTTGGGATGATAATTTGAAAGCAAGAATTCAGCGATTATACCAGATTACCACAATTTATCTATTCATCTAACTGTGCAGATACAGGCAATACATTGTTAGATACTTTCCAAACTTTCTCTTTTCCTGTCATTAAGTTTTCCTCTGCACCCTAACCTCAACATCTGTTAACCATTCCAGCCCTGCAACGGTCATTTTCCGTCAAACTCCTTTCTATCGTAAAACAGCTTATCCTTGGGTCCCAAGGCCTCTCCAACCGAAAAATTCACTTCCTTGTTCTCTCTTGCCATTTTCCTCTCCCTATGTTTCTCCCCACCAGATTTTTCCGCGCTTAATCTAAACCGGACACCCCCGAAAGTCAGATTCCTACGAGATACCACTGAGAGCAGTCGAATTCTTTGAGTCTACGAATAAAGATATTTTCAATCGGAAAGTAGTAGATTTTCTGTAACCCTCCGGGACTACGACAACATATAATACGAAGGAAAGTGGAAATCGTTAGGGACAGTCGCGACGTTCGAGGAACAGCCCCGCGGGACGGCGAACCACTCGCGTTCTCCTGCATCCGTGCGATTCATTTCTCGCTCGATGTTAATTGACGCGTTGGAATTACACCGTATTTGCATGCCGCGACGCGGTCTTATATCTTCAGTTCGGCGTGTACCGACGAGCGAATGAGCAGGGCGAACGACACGGAACCAGAACTGCGCGGGTTAGAATTATTGCGATCGCGGCGGGATGCTATCGGGGCGTTAAGGGAGGGTCTCGATTTCCGAGAAGTCGACTCCGAGATAAGTCGCCGATAAAATCTCAACCGCTTGATGATACGTTTTATAAATCACCTCGGCGAACTGTTTGCTATTAAACTTACATCGTCCGGACGCGTCGAACTCGTTATTTATTTAACTTAGTCGATGGTTCGGAATCTTCTCAGAATCACGAAACGCTTTTACTAGATTTTTGTGGAACGCAGTCGTAAAATAAGACAATATTGTTGTATCTCTGATTGTAATTTCTATATTGAATACCATTATCTATACATATACATAAAAATGGATGTTTGTATACATATACATATACAGGATGAGGAAAAAGTATGGAAACCCCAGAAAATTTCCGAGGATTAGTGGTATAAAAAAATAACGAAGGTCATAACCTAGGTAACTTTCAACGAGGAATCCAATGATGACCTTGGAATTGACCCCGAGCTTCAATTTCAAGGTCATTTGAAGGTCAACTTTACTTTTTTAAACGGAAACCCCTATTTTTTATGTCTGAATCGAAAAGAGCCGAAAATTTAACGTTTAGGTCTGAGGTTAACGTGACTCCTAGAGGTCAAATAAAGGTCAAAGTACGCTATCATGGGATTTCATTGAAGTCTGGCGAGATTAAGGCTAAAAAAGAATGAGAAAGATCGCATCTGCAGTAACTTTTAACGAGGGATTTAAAGGTGACCTTGGAATTGACGTTAAACCTCAATTTGAAAGTCATTTAAAGGTTGGATGTGATTATATTTAACGGTAAACTGTTAAATTATCGTGATTATCCTCATTTTCTCTTCTATATTTGTCAGACTTTAACGGTTCTTTGTCTTAATCTTCGTTAATGTTGAAAATTATAATAAAATTTTAATCGGTTCTTCAGAATTTTAAACTCGGTTTGACCAGAAATACGACGCGTTTATCTCTTCACTTCATCTCACTTACGCACTTTATTCGGTATTGATAATTGAAATTAAAAGTGAGTTCGATTAAAAGCCGGTCTCGTAAAGACGCGATATAAATACAAACTGGATTTTACGGACGGTCGATCAGGCGGACGTCGGATTATTCATTAAGTCGCGATAATGACAACTCTTTTCGGCGTGGCGTCGGTGATCTTCTGAGAGCCGAGGCCTCCTCGTGATTAATTGACTCGCCGGGCTTCGTTAGAGCCGGGCCACGGACGGCGTTTTCAAGAGCCGATGAAAAATGAGGTGTCGCGAACCGCGAAGGCTGCACTCGATCAATCGTTGCACCCCGATACGGTAGCCAATGACCGTTCCCTCGGGTCCGTTCCGTCTGCGATCAACTTATTTCGAAAACGAATCGAACCGTGCCAGTCTCCCAAGAGTGGCCACTTCACTTCGCACCGTCGTTTCTTTGTTCTTCGCCGTAAACGTCTCGAGGACGTCTCCCGACGTGTTTCTGCCTTTGCGAGACGCAAAAATCACGTTTCTCATTTTTGTATTTCGTCATCGATGTAATTGAGCCCAGACACTCCTTAATAATTTTCTCGTTCAATTAACTATCTTAACACTAGAAAGACTGAAACTTAGTATATACC